AAGTTTTACTGTTTAATTATAACTTTTAAAGTTATGATCCACTCTTCTTCTCTCCTCCTCAAGAAATTCATGCTGAAATACTTCACGTTGACTTCGAGACAAGCAGGACGGATTACCGGCGATCTGCTAAATTAATAGATTGGCTTAAAAGATGTAAATAGATGGTTCCTTGTCGAAGATCAGGTCATAGATAAATGCATAAAATTCACCGGAAGGTGTACTAAGGAGTTTTTCTAATTGTTATGTCTGTGAACAGTATTTCATATCTAAATTTTCTATATTTACCTTTTCTGGTAGCATCTTCATTATAGATGTTTGTCGGTGATGGGAAGAATTTGCATACGACATCTCGGTTACCTTTGGCTAACCCATCAATTGAACTTGCCACTTCATGGCAGAATCCGGTTGCTGCTGGCGCCGCAGCAGCCCCGTTCTATAATTTACAGAGGTTTCCCGGTTATTATCAAGCGGCCTTCCCTCAACTCAGTTCTGCATATCTGCACTCACTCTGGCCTCAGAATCCTTGGCCATCGCAACCACCTACGGCTACTCAGCAGCTTCAGCAGCATCAGCTGGAACAACAGAAACAAGTAGAGACTGTTACGGCTACTGCTGCGGTTAGTTTATCTTTTCCAGAATAAAAAGTTCAGCTAAGGATCAAGACTTTAAAACACTCGATTTTAAACAATTGAAATATTTTCATATTTCAACTATTTAGATGTTTTTCCAGCAGTATGGTCAGTTGACTAATTCGGCGTGGAGGGGTGCAAATGCGCAGCTAGCTGCTGACACTTCATCTTTTATGGGAGCTACTGGTGATAATCGATTGCGTACTGTTGTATCTGAGCAAACATCTCCAAGAGTTACTTCGAATATCACATTTCAAATGGGGGCTACTGCTGCCGTTGCAGGAGCGTGTTCTCAGCGATTGGTTACCGCAACTGCAGCAATCACAGACCAGCCGTCAGGAATTGTTGGCCAAAACATCAGTACGCAAAGCAATCAGTTATTACAGTCTTTAGCACAGCAGACACCAGCTTCACGTTCAGTTAAAGCTTCGGCCTCTGCTGCAGTGTCAGGAAATATTCGGAATACTCGAAACACTGGGACAACAGCTACATGTCAACATCATTATTCAACGAGTTCTCAAGTAGCCGATACACAGAGGGTTTCAAGATTAACAGATTGCTCTTCCACTCATATAATTGCTACACCATCATCTATTGATAGTGTGAAACGTGTGGAATGTGACAGTTCGGTACCAAGTCCACCCAAAAGCCAACAGCAACCACAAACGACAGGAGCTGTTTTTGGTGTTGTACCAACCGGTATCGTTAGTATTCATCGAACAGAAACAACAGCAGTCTCATCGCAACCATCACTATCACCAACAACATCTGTTCATGCTCCAGCTCAAGGTCAGGCTAAGGCTTCAGTCCCAATACCATCAGCAACTGCAGCGATACCAGGCAATAAACAAAGGTCTAGTAATCATAGAATCCCAACGGCAGTAACCACTTGTAGTACTTTCACAGTTTCAAGTGTTGCCATGACCGACATAAACGTGAGCGCAGTAGCCCCAACACCAGCTGGATCTGTTGCATCTGCTGCTCTTCCTCAAGTGCCGATGTCACGTACGGCAACCGCAGTTATAACACAAGAAAGACCTATGGCAGGGTTGCAAAGAGGTATATTTGTGATCAGTTTTTTTGGATAAGTATTAGTAATCTGCTTTCTAGGAGATTTTGATTTTTTTTTTTTCCATTTATTATAATTCGGTCCATCTTAAATTTGATCTGTCGCAATATGTCCAAGGAATCGTGGATAATACGGACTAATTTCTCTCTTATTTTTTCATTTTTTTTTTTTTTGGAAACTGTTTGTAGTTCTACCCCATTTTAATTACTAAACTCATTTCTAGAAAATGGCGAACGGAATGGTCGGTTGTCTGATTTGGAAGAGTTAACGGAAGATTTGTTAGAAGATTGCGGCCCACCAAGGCGTGTACCTACACCGGCATCTAGTTCCTCTGAATTACCCACTGCATCAACGGTAAAGCAAAACCCACTTACCATAGAGGAGGAATCGAAGCCATCTGAATCAATACGTTCACCACTTCACCAATCACCAAAAAGTTAGCTCATATTCATCTTCATTTATTTTTCTTTAAAACCAACTTTGGATATTTTTTCTTAATCTATGAGTTTATATTTCGTTTGGGATGGAATAGTCTCACCTGACTAGGCATTACATTATATAAAATGCTTTTCTATTACCTCCGTTTTTGCATGATTTTAACTTCAAGTTTACGGATAAAGTGCAAAGTTGTGTTTGCTTTTTATAATTTTCCTCATATTTCCAGTTAAATATAATGATGTATATGTAAGAGGACGTTATAGGACGCGGACATGGTCACTCGGATTCGTCTTGTTCCCCTACTCAAACACCTGCCGTAGTAGAGCAAAAAACTGAGCCAAAGAGACGACGCAAAAATAATGAGGTATTTATTCTACTTGACACTACTATATTTCTCTTATACTCGATTTTCCTTTAGATAGATGAATTTCTCATGTTACATGTTATGAATGAAGCAGCTTTTAAAGCTTTGCAGATGCAGAAGATTGTTATATGGTATAACAGGATTTATAGACCCATGTTTTCAAAGTTAAGTAGAAAATCAAGATAAACTTTTTTGTCAACTTTTTTATTTTATTATTAAACATATCCCGGATATTAGCATAAAGTATTGCATTTGACATATCGAATGAAATTGATAATAACTTATAAATTGTAACTGGTATCGAAATAGTGATTTATGGTGAAACTGAAAAATGTATGGTGAGAAAACTTGTGCAGACTGTTACAGCTTTGCCTCTTCACAGAGTGTTCTTGACTTTCAGTCATTTCTTTTTTTTCAATTCAGGTAGCCATGTTGTTGAATGATTTAACTGAAGTAGCATGGCATCATCTTGCAAGAAAAAGTACTAACAAAATCACAACGCCAACACAAACGAGGTCAGTTTTAGTAGTTAATAATAAATCATTCGTTAGTCTAGTTCTTTGGAATAACTCTTGTTTTCTTTTTCGATTTTCCTTTGGAAGAGATTTTTTCATCCGCCAAATTTTCATTTGTTTTGTATGTATTTGGATATAAAAAAAAGGAAAAAAACATTGAGTTTTGCTTTTTCCACAGCTTTCTGTAAATGGATGTCATAGAAGTTATGCCAAAAGTCAATTTAAGGATTCTTAACAACATTAACATTAGAATTAATAACATTAGAATGTGGAAGCGAAAAATGTTTGGAATGAAATCTTGTTATTATTCTTCTGGCTTCTGCTTGTTTATTTAAGTATTCCTCTGTTGATATTATATTGTTGAAGTTAGTGGTCTGACTTAATGCGAATCCATTTGCTGCAGTACTCCGCTGAGTATGAGACACTATGGCGTATTAAAATTTGAAGTGGAATTTAGTACTTCAAATCATAATATTCTTTATTGAATAGGTATCACCAATAGTTTACACCTGCAATATCTTTAATAAATAGAATATACAAAAAAATAAAGCAGATATAAGTATATAATATAGAGCAGATATAAGAAACACAGAAGATATAAATATCCGCTTCAGGAAAGTGTACACGCATGACGAAGATGAAAATGATGCTGATAACAAAAGTTGTAAAAGTGATTCAAGTGGCTCAGAAAGGCCTGAAAAAACGAAGCAGCAGCAGAAGAATGTTACGAAAACGAAAAGCGTTTCGTCAGCGAAGAGTATAACTGCTTGCAAAGCTAGAGATTTTGATAGAGGCAGTGCACGGAAACGTGGTCGTCCAAAGAAAGGTTGCCTTACTTCTCAAAATGTAGTCACTACAAAAATAATTAAGAAGAAAACAGCAGTGAAAAAGAAGAGAAAGAAAAGATCTTCTAGCAGCGATAACATAAGCTCAGATTTTGAAGGTAATGAAGAAGAGAGGAGAGAAGATTTGAAGGAACCACAAATTCTATCGAAAAACCAGCCAGGTACATCAGCGGCTGAAAAGATTGAAAGAGCTCTTGATATGATGAGGAAAAGGCAGACATTACCGGATTCTGATAATGAAAGTAGCACTTCCTCATTTGTAAGTTCTTCCTCACCTTCTCCGATTCGGCGAACATGGGGTGCAACATCACAACGCAAAACTGGGCACGCTGCTGGTGGTAGTGGTGTAAGCAGGAAAACAATGAGCAAAACAGGCCGTTCGATGAGTAAGATGCCACGGAAGCAACCACAAAAGGAAATGACCTCTTCTTCCACAAGTACCCGAAAAAAAGGACGTAAAAAGAAAAAGCGGTCATCGTCTAGCGAAAGTGGTAAGTCACAGAGCGGATGATTTTTTGGTTATATGGGTGAATGATTGGTGTGTTTCAGCGGCGTATCCAAAGATCCTTCTTTTCTATTCGGATTATATCGGCGTTGTTCTGGAAAAGGTCATCCTTCAGTAGTAGTAAAATTGTTTCTGTAAATCATCGTTAGTACTAATAGTTTCTTCTGTAATATTGGGAATGAGAGTTATAATAAAATTAACTTACGGCATATAAATCTGACTGGAAGTGATGTTTTTGAAAAGCCGAAGTTGAAAAGTTAGTTGAAAAATTTAGTTCTCTTAAAGAATAAATGAAGCCTATCAAAATATTATCTACAGTGGAATGATGGATACGTCACCGGTGTACGTGTTGTTGTGTTGTTTTCTTTTTTTCTGCACATATAAAGAAACAAATAAAACACTTTGTCTTTGGGTTTTCCCTACTTGTTCAATACTGTTAACCAGGTCAAGCACCAAAATAATTGCTTTCAATTAAATCACTTTTCTTTTTTCAGTTTACGGCATTTTGTTTTCATCATTCACCACTCTTTACTTCTTGTTTTTGAAATTTTCGTTATTGATTGTGTATGCCGGCTGGAAAATCCAGGCTTCATGGATTAAGAATTTTCATTTCAAAATGCTATTTGCTTTAATTCATTAAAAAAATTAATACCGTATGAAACTGAAATTACTATCAGTGCCTATTGTTCGGGAAACGTACTAAGTGATTTACCTTCTGTGTTACAAAGTTCCTGATTTCGTCGCATTGGGACAAAAGCATTTTTGATAAACAGGTTGGACTTATTATTTCAAATTTTTAGCAATTCCTATTCACAGGAAACGTTTCTTGTTGCAGAATTGTCTTTGGAAACGAGCAGTGTTGAATGGGAAAAGATGAAGCCAGTGGTTACGCCGCTACCGGCTGCACATGCGCCAATAGTATTCGATGAATGGGCATACCACGATCCAGAAAAACAATGCGACGCCAGGTCAGGTTGCAAAAAACCACAAAGTGAAAGTGTTGTTTGGGTATGTATTGATTAGATTGATTAAATTATTTTCATTTGTTAATATCTAGTCTTCAATTTGCCAAAACTGCAAAAGGTACTTTTAAAAAAATATTTAAAATTTAACTTAATTGAATGTTCGTCACAAATTGCTCTGCACCAAATTTTGAAATCTTAACCACGACCAGCAGCTATCTGATTGATGAATTTACCGAAACAGTATAATTTTGGTGCCGTGGAAGGAAGCACTATATAGCGTTACAAAAGTACTGCAGGAGGTTTCATAGCAATTCCGAAAAGTTGGTTCAAAAGATTTTAACGGTAACAGTAAAAATTTTAAATTGCAATCGGTACGCTTTAATTGATTCAATTGTGTTGCAACAATGTGATTTTGAAGATATAATTCTGTAGGTGCAATGTGATTACTGCTGCCGGTGGTACCATATGGAATGTGTAACTGATCATGGTGTAACAGTTGGTAATTCTGATGATTTCAACTGTGGTTGTAGGGATTCAAACAAAATGAGCTGAGAATGTGCAACGATTTTCTTCCATATATGGTTCGTTGCATGCAACAACTTTTAGTGTTCGCTTTTTTTTTTTTGCATTTCCAGTGGTATTTGCTAAGGGTTATTTAGTAATGATATCAAGTTTTGCTTAGGTCTCGTTTGTTGTTTAATTCTATATTTGTTGTTCATTTCGCAAACATATGTGGCCTTTGATGGATTATAGGCTTGTAGTCGTTCATTTTCTTATCCAGCCCAAATTCCGGGAAGCAATGGAAATTCATAGTCGTTTTTACCTTTCTTAAAAAAAAAGAAAAAATGATGAATTTATGAAGAAACATAGGCATCTTTTCGACTCTTTCTTTTGAACTTTCTGTTTGATTTGTGGAATTGCTCTCTCTCTCTCTCGCTCTCTCCCTTTCTCCATGAATTCATAAAGCATTCAAAATTGTCCAGAAGTTAGTAATCAGTAAAGTCATTAAGCGAACAAGACATAGCGCTACATTTGGCAAATGATACCTAAGAGAGAAAATTGGATAAGTTTTTATATTGGCGATTCGGTAAATATATTCTGTTTATTGCTGTTTTTATGATGATATTACAATTTCAATTGGCTGATATTTTTTGTATATAGTGGTGATACTGTTTTATGGTTTTACTTAATTATAAGAAATGTAATTATGGCATTGAATTGTGTCAAACATCAGACGGCCCACTATTCGTTACTAAAACTGTGATAATGCTCAGTTTGTCATCTTCTCTTCTGTGAAATCTTTTAAGTTACTCCTTTAGTATTATAATGAGTATTTTTAAAGCATAGTAATATCATTTATTAGGATATTTTGGTTGTTGATTGTGCGATTCTTGGATTTCTAGTCTCCCCACAATATAGCATAGGTCCTTTCCAACCCGTTTTGTTTGAGGACTACTTACTTTTTCATGGCCGAGCCCTTGAGCTTCCATCATTAAGAGCGGCGATGCCATATAAAATCACTTCCCGTAGAATCCAGGAATGTTCCACATTCGTGTTGTGATTCATTTCTGTATTGATTTTTTTTTACCTTTTTCCCTTTCAAACATTCTGGTATGATATTGAAAAAGAATCTAACACGTGCATACTCCATAATGTTCAGCTCTAACAATTATTGCATTTTCACATTCATTTCAATGATTTTATTCTATACATTGTTTACATTTTGTTATGTTAACTGGAGCTTGTGTTTATTGTTTTGCTACTTCATCTATATATGGTAGACATACGTCGTTCCAAAATTTCGTCAGTTGCACGTGTTTAAATTACCAAAAATATGAATAACGCTTAAGCTCCATTTTCACGTTAACCTTAGGTTACATGTGATATACTCAGGTTAGGTATAATCAGTTAAACTGTACTTCATTTAATCAATTGATTTGTTACGTTACAAATGGTAACATAAAACTACATAAAAAAGTATCTCTTAGGAAGGACACCACAAATTTTATTAAATTTTTACCTCTTATTCTACTCTGCTTCTTTAATTTTCAATAAACGGGATCAATAGAGATCAGTAAAAGTATGAAATCCGTTGTTCCTTGTTACGATATTTCAAATATATTGGCTGATGACAACTTCAGAATATTACATTATGGTTATGAAGCGATTTAAAATGTTTTAAGCGCTGTATTTCATAAGCGATTTGGTTGTTTTGATCTGCTACTGTCTAATGATGCAAGACTTCTGGAGAAGTGCTGATGTCGTAAAATGCAGCTTTGAATAGGGTTTCACTCTTCCCTTTATCCCGAATTTGTATGTCGCAGTTTGTGAAGGGTGGCGGATTGGAATTTTGAAATATCTAATTTAACTTTCATTTGTAACTTTTTTGGGAATGGAAGACTAGAGAATAGGGGAACGGTCTTGATATCTCGGATGAGGGGTTTTACTGAAGTTTTTGAGAGGGGTTAATGCTTATTGCAGATTTTTGGGAAATAAATGATGTCGGTTACATGGTTCTGTTCATCGTTTGAATCGTCGAGCAACTCAGATCAAGCAACAACGGACCAAAGGGTAATCAAACATTACCGCTTAATAAACATGTGAATTACTGCCGGGAATACTACGATTGTCCAACATGCAATATATATATATATATATATATATATATAATAAACGCTACGAAGCATTATTTTA